ATCATTCACATCTGACACCTGAACACTCAGTGTTTTGAACGTGGAAAGCGCGGGCTGTCCACAGTCTGTAGCTGTTATTGAAATGTCATAATGTGACACAGTTTCTCTGTCCAGCGTTTCAGTTGTCACTAGTGAATACATGTTTTCCTTAAATGATGGTTTTAATTCAAATGGCACGTTTTCTGTCAGACTGCATATGACTTTACCATTCAGGCCAGAATCCATGTCTGTAACACTGATAAGAGAAATCACAGTTCCTTGTTTTGAATCCTCTGGGACCATGCTAGATAGTGATGTCACCTCTATCTCTGGCTTATTGTCATTGACATCTTGTATTTTTATTATGACTCTACAATCAGTTGTCATCGGCGGCTGACCTTTATCAGAAGCTTGGATGTCTAACTTGAAAACATCAGCTGTCTCATAGTCAATTTGTCCATTAACTCGAATTTCTCCAACATTTTTGTCCAGACTGAATAATTGTAACACCTTAGAATTAATGTCACCACCGAAGCTATACTCGATCTCCCCGTTAATTCCCTCGTCGAGATCCGTTGCTTGGAGTTTTGTTACAATCGTACCTAATGCAGAGTTTTCCTCTAATGCAACAGAATAAACCTCTTTAGAAAACACGGGTCTGTTATCGTTGTTATCAAGAACCTTTATTGTAAGATTAAGATTAGCTGATTTTGACGGTGTCCCTCCATCCAAAGCGGTCAAAATTAAGCTGTGGTTTGTTTTTTGTTCTCTGTCCAAGTGTCTCTGCAATACTAAGAAAGGAATTTTGTCTTCTCCTCTGTCTCGAATTTCAAGATTAAAATGATCGTTTTGACTAAGTTTATAGCGCTGGACTGAATTTATTCCAACATCTGGATCTCGTGCGCCTGGTAACTGAAATCGTGCTCCTGGCATCGTTGTTTCTGCTATTTCTATTAGCTTTTCCTTTTCAGCAAAACTCGGAATATGGTCGTTAGTATCCATTATTTCCACTGTGACATAATGGATTTCAAGTGGATTTTCAGCAACGATTTTCAGATCCATTAAGCAAGCGCCATTTATATCGCACAGCTGTTCTCGGTCCAGAGTCTTATGAACATACAAAGCCCCATTGTTCGGGTTTACCTCAAAAAGGGCCACGTGAGCTCCGGGCACAATCCGAAATCGCCTGTTAATCAATGTGCTGACATCGAGACCCAAATCCTTGGCAATATTTCCAATAATAGTTCCCACTTTAACTTCCTCTGGGGTCGAGTATTTTATCTGAGCAAAAATCAGCTCGCCAAAGCAAAACAACAGAGAGAAAAGCAGAGGATGCGACAACGACACCATTCTTCCTCTTTGTCCTGTGTCTCCTTTGGCGCAATCAATTTAAAATCACATCCACAAATGTATTCCACTTAATGCACCCGCAACTGTACTGACATTATATCTGGATTTCGCAGTAGCATACTAGTGTTGGAAAGGCGCAGATCAAAACCCGAAACGATGCCATTCTTTGTGGTCTAGCTGGGAAAATGCTGGTTTCTAAAGGGGCAGAGTTTATTTTGCTTGAAGCCTCACCAAGCTTCTACTGTTACACTGACACCCAGTGGACCATTCAGTGCTTAAAAATAAAAAGAAAATGAGATTCCACCCGGCAGAGACCTCTCCCATGTGAAGTTCTGTGACACATAATGCTCCACAATTAATTCAGTTGTAAAGCCGTTGTCCGTATGGGTAGCCATACAAAACCGAAATGAAACAATGAAACAGTTTATAGTTTACCTAACGACCACTAAAGTATTTGAATTGCTGCCCGGAGCTATGATAGAGCCTGATATACTTTAGAAAAACGTTCACCAGCATGGACAGCGTCAACACCGTGGCGTTTCTCCTCTTTTAACATAGTATGGTTTCAAGTGTCGACAAAATAAAACGTCTAGCCCAAATTTTAAAAAAGTGACTTAGAAGTCATTATGGCTAGACTTCTGACAGTATGATGCAGAACGGTACAAAATATGGAATGTTGGGGAGAGTGATGGACTATATAACCCAGAGACATTAACAGTTTCGAGAAATAGAAAACACTGCTAAGACGTTGGTCTGTGCTGCACAACAATGACATATATTTCCCAAATATAAGCTATTTTGGACCAAATAGTTTACCTCACAAGTTTTATGGGAGTTATAAGTAAGTCAAAATAGGTTTCTATATAAATCTGACGTGTTAAGATTGTGAACTGTGCTTACCTCCTCAGATATCCTCCTCCTG